AACGACACATTTATATTTACGCGATCTTACCCACCCTTCTATCATGGAAAGCCACCCTCGTGTTAAAACAGATATACAATTGGTGACGTTTCGGGCAATGGGCCTTCGTTTTCGACGAGTGTGTTCAACAGCACAGTATATATTTACGCTGTCTTTCCGACAGACCTGTTCTTCACCTGATGACGGCTGCTTGCGTTGTGACCGAAACGTCGTGAGAATTGTATTTTATTATGTTTAATTTTTATTATTTTATTATTTCCCTTCTACGTGACTTTACCGAAAGAACCAAGAAGATGAATCCCTGCAATCACGAAAGCTTTAAATCGAAATTTAGAATATCTGCATAAACCTGTAACCATTCATCGATGATTGTCACTTAGTAGTGCAGAGAATGGTTCTCAGAAGCGGAAAGCGTAGAGCTACCACGGAGATCCATTCAAGTGATTTCTGATCGATGCAGTCAGGGAAATCGGCATTAAGATTGAACTTAATCTTGTCTATATTTATATATATTTGCACGTGGCTTTAATGATGGCACGCACACACGGGGGAGCCTTCCCTGCGTAAGATGGCAGAGCCGTGGATTCAGTTGTGGCAGTCGAGACGCTGTCGCATGGTTAACGTTGCAGAGTTACAAGGGGGGCGGGGAGGTCCAGATGTCTTGTGACCCCCCCCCCCCCCAATTAATTGACTCCTAAAATCCCACACTCCTTGCATATTCATTTATGTTTGAAAAAAACCCCTACTTGAAAAAAATACTTTTAGAGAATTAAATGGGAGGGGGGGGTCACAAGTCATCTGGACCACTCTGCACAGTTGCTGTTTTAAATTAATGAATCACACGGCATTTGTGCGTTGTGGAAAAAAAGCCATTGCCATTATTTTCTTGAAGTGTATTTTGGTCTTCTTTACCATAAATATACATTCTTCCACCGCGAACTGTCATCCTGCAGTAGGATGACAGGTCATGGCCCCACTTCATATATATTTTTTCATGTAATAGCGAATATTGTTTATTTAAACTGAATTGTCAGTCATACAACTCAATTCAATATAGCTCGAGTCGCATTTTATCTTCACATTTTTATTAAAATGTGCATCTAATCCTGTGTATTAATATATATCAACGTCAACTTATGTAATTTTTCATAATTGATACCTTTTTTTCATCCAGGAAAGCCTGACCGAGTCTCAAGACTTTTTTTAGGAGGGTCCTGCCAAGCACATATTTAGCATTAGGCGGGGGCGATGCTACTGTTTACTATCCCAATTGAGTAACTTGTCGAGTAATGCTTCAGCATTGGGCTGTTTGACTAATACCACTCACATTGGGGTTATTTCTTTAAATCTATGGAAGGTAACCGGAGAACCCGGTGGGAGAGCATAATAATTGAACACAATAAATGCACCCAAGAACACAATAACACCCAGGCGATTCTTGCTGTGAGACACGATTGTGAGCACAGCGTCACCCTTGGTGCCCAATTGAACCCATTCACAATTTAAACTATGAAACTATATTTAATGTAACTAGCCCCGATGCCTCACTACCACCACCAACTCTGTCTTGGGAAATCTGAAGACCCCATTGTCCAGCCTCGAAGAGTGTCAACAGCTGCAGAGCTCGTTCCACAGTCCTTGCCAGCAGAGCTCATCTATATGAATGATAACCACTGTTAATGTTGTCACCAACTGAATTGTTTTTGCCAATGTACAGCCCAATTTGTCAATCCATTGCTGGCGCATAGCTCCCCATGTAATGTGAACTGTAGGGGTGATTTGACCATACTTCACCACACAGGGCATTGGGGGTTGGGGAAGGAAGGGAGCATATATGAGGCAGCGTAGTACAGTACCTCAATGGCTGTTTAATCCACAAGGGCAGCGAAAACCAGACACCAGACAAATGCGGTCATGGCTATGGCTATCAGGCATGCATAAGTCCAGCTGCATAAAACCCTTGAGTGTCTTTGTTTAACCATAAAACTCGCATAATTTAAAGGACAAACTAAGTGGAAAATTCCACTCGGGGTGTTTAATTCAACGCATGACCATGAATGTAACTCTGATCCAGCCAAACACACGTCTCAACGGGATATGGTTTTAGAGTATCATGACTGTTTTTTAAACACTGAAGAGTATGATTGCCACCTTTTCCAAAGCTAAACCCCCAAATGTTTCAGTCAACCTAAATCTATAAAACGGTGTAGTATACTGTAACTATTGTACGTTCCACACAATACCATCACATCTTTTATTCAAATAGATTCCTGCCACCCAAACACAGATGGCAAATCCCGGATTGATAATTGGTTCTTTACCCTTCTATCTGGCAACAAAACTGACACCTTTTTGCAAGGAGTCATGTTTGCATGACTCCTTGCAAAAAGGTGTCAGCAAAACTGACACCTTTTTGCAAGGAGTCATGTTTGCATGACTCCTTGCAAAAAGGTGTCAGTTTTGTTGCCAGATAGAAGGGTAAAGAACCAATTATCATATTTTTACTGGCAAATGAGGTCCCCATAGTGTAAATCCCGGATTGTCATGACCAACCTCGGACAAATGGCAACACTACTGAACATCCCATTTACATTACAGTATAAGCAATGCCTAAGACTACATCGTTGTTTGGGAACCCAAAAATCCTCATACCACACAAGCGAGCGCCGTGTGTTGTCTGCTTGTACTATATCACGATTGCCTAAATCTGGTCATCATGGAAATAACGTGGGATATGCTTCAGAAAACAGTCATACGGGGGAACCCTGTAGCGTGCTCAGTGACGACGACCTATTTGGCAGTGGAGAGAACCCAAGCCACAAGCCAAATAATGCTTCCTAAAGCCATGAATCGGTGACATATTCATCATCGTATCGTTTGCTGTCCTATTGTTTGCCATCCTATTGTTCAACGTCATATTCGTCATCCTGTTGTTCATAATCCTTTTGTTAGTTGTCCTCTTGTTCTTCATCCTAAAGTTTATTTTTCTAAATAGAAATTTTTTTTTAGAGATGCTCTGTGCTTAGTTTGTTATCTTTCACCTGCATCTCCGACTATCACGGTTGGCTACGTACGGTGCGAAATAATTTCAAGTTACAACCCATCTACTGCATTAGCCCGGTATTTCGATTAAAGTGTACGAACTTCAGATCTCTGTTTGAAATATGTTCAGTGCGTCAGTTTAGCCAGCATGGGGCGTTAGATTGCCGAGTGATTTTTTTTAGCCTGGACATGTGAATGGAGAATAAGTGGTTGGGCCTGGTCTAAAACCGTTGACTCCTAAAAACGTTTAATTTGGGTTAAGATAGTGTAGGTATAATACCAATTTGTAAGTATAATATTCCACCAAAAACCTTCCTTCACCAAAACCCAATCATGACAATTTCATCCAAAATGTGACTCAAATGCAACGCCTTCTGTAAGTGATGAAAAAGTCCATCGTTGTTGCAAGGGCAGAATGGATGCAGACTGGAAACAAATATGATTGAATCTTGATTTGAAGCTTTCGTGACTGCAGGAATCCATACTCTTTGGTTCTTTCGGTAAAGTCACGTAGGTATAAACAAAATTAAATAAAAAAACAAATACGATTGAGCTTTTTCACACAGATGGGCGCGGTTCACAAACAGCAGGAAGGCATGACTTCCATCCGAATGTCTTTTGCATGCATCTCATGGGATTACCACATTGCACGCCGACTGTACAATGCTTTGTTTTGTCAAGGCCACCAAATACTGTGAACAGTGACTGCGCAGGCAGAGCGAGCCAGGGGGGGAGATAAAGAGGGATTGTGTCCTCATTCACTGTGGATGTGGCTTTTGTAATGGGGCCTCCCAGAGCTACCCAAACTCTTAACACAAATCAAAAACCCCAATTGCCTAACTCTAATCATAACTCTATCCCGAACAGAACCATGACTCTTAGCTCCAACCTTGACTATAACCCTTACTCAAACTTTTAAACTAACTCTAATTTTACTCTAATCCTAATGTACACTAAATTCCCTTTACCAAAACAGACCGACCCCCTCCACATTGTAAACATTTTATAGGTACTGTCGTAATATATGGTAGTAGTTAGGAGACCAGCGGGCTATCATTGTGGATATTTCACACTGCAGTATACATGAAAATACAGAATTAAGCGAAACGCCGCTGAAATGTTGACGCGAATTAAAATCAGGAAGTGAGATTTACATTTGATCAGCAAAAACAAAATGAGAAGGGATAAAATAAGAGAGTGGAATAGCTGAAAGGAGAGAGGTGGGTGATGGAGAAGGTGAGGTCGGTTGTCAGAGAGAGAAGAGGCATCTTCTTGTTTCCTCCGATATTAAACAAATTGAGAGCACAGAGAGAGAGAGAGAGTGAAGGGGAGAGGTAAAGAGGATAGCACAGAGAGGGGGTAGAGAGAGGGGGTAGAGAGAGAGAGGGGGTAGAGAGAGGGGATGTAGAGAGAAAAAGAGGGAAGGGGTAAGGAGGAGAACAGAACGTGAAATGTTTAATTTTTTTCAGTTTTCAGTTTCATTTATTTGGTATAGCCCTGTGAGCCCTTCGGCTCTTGAATCGGGTGCAACCGCAACAAACAAAAAGCAAAAACATGAACAAGAAAACATCTTAAAGTGACTATGCGCGAACAAAAAAATCCAGGAAAAAACTGCAAAGTCTTCCAGAAAAAAAAGGGGGGGGGGGGGGAGCACATAAAGCAAAGCATTGAAAAAAAACACAAAACAACTAAATGATGAACGAAGCAAAGTGCCGACGACACCGAGCATCTTCTTGTTTCCACTGATCGTAAAAAAAAGAGAGATCTGTGAGAAGGGGTCTGAGAGAGAGAGAAGGGGTGAAGGAGGAGAGGGCCTTGAGTTGTGTGGCAGGGCGAGGACAAATCGGAGTGGGAGGAGAGAGAGGAGAGAGGGGTGAAGGAGGAGAGGGGTGAAGGAGGAGAGGGCCCTGAGTTGTGTGGCAGGGGAAGGACAAATCGGAGTGGGAGGAGAGAGAGAGGAGAAGAGGGAGGAGGAGGACTCAGGGAGTGGCCTCTGGGAGTGGCCACTCCGCGTGGCTGAGATCCGTTCCAAAAGCCACGCTCCGAACTTTCTTTTTACCCCACCTACCCAGCCAGCTTCTCCCCACGCCGCACACTTCATCACCCCGCTCTCCGGACTCTCATTGCCGTCTCGATCGTGGTTCCACAGAGGAATAAAGTCGTAAGCAAGCCAACGCTGTCCGCGATGGCTGCGTCCGCATTGCGTTCTGCTATTGTCTTCTTGCTGCTCTCGCTCGCCCTGTCGGGTAAGCGCATCATCTCCATTGTGCCGTGTTGCGGCCACCCCTCCATTGTGGTGGCAGCAGCTGTGTTGTTAATGTCCTTTCTCTTTAATTAATACCACGATAGGTTCGTGGCGTTGTTGTTTTTTAACGCGAGCGAATAAAACGCGCCCCGTGCCATTACGCGAAGGCGTCGTTCCATGTTGCAGTGATCGTGTTTTGCGTGTTTTGTGTTCACATTTCAACAAAGGAATTGAATCTCGTGGCACGAGATCGGAGTCGTAATGATGTCGGCATTGTCCCTCGCATGGCGGAGGGAAAACCCGAGAGATGTGTTTGGTAGAACCGAGATCATTTTGTGACTTTGTCTGATCAAGGGCCGCCACCACCGTTACTTTCGTGCTCGCTCCCTCCACATGGAAGCAAAATTGTCATGGGTCCGTTCATAATGGCCACCACCTTCACCACCAATTCTTGCGGTGTATACTTCACGCTGTTAAGAGGGGGGTTTGTCCCTAACCACTCTGCTTGTGTTGTACATGGGGTCTTGTGTCTGGTGAAGTGTTAGGAACACGGGCATCAGTGGGGTGAGTGAGACAAAGGTGGCTGGGCTTGGTGATATCGCCCGGCCACACCCTGTGGTCTGGCCAAAACTGATGTTCGGGAGGGCGTTTTTGTGTGTGTGATTTAAACGAAATAATTATTTATTGTTTCATACTGCGTGGGGGGAAGTGGTTATCGGCAGTTATGTATGTATCGTTCCAGTGGGCACGTGTATTGATTGACACAGGCCTTTACGAAACTCGTCGAATATTACGTTGGGTTTATTTGACGTGTGCCCCGATGCTGCAAACGATATACAATTGAATATTTGCCGCAGTTGTGAATGAATTGGTACGCGCGGAAGAAGCGTGGGGGATGTTTTTGCACGCTTTGAAAGTAGCACGGGAGAGATGGAAAGATACAGAACACGCATTGGTTACAATACATCTTATTCTGATACATTAAATGGGATCGAACAGGAAGATCAGCCGATGGGGGTTGACAATGAATGGGAACGCGTCTTGTCGGAACGTTCGCAGGGGAGATGGAGCGACGCAATTAGCCCGTGCGGTTTGTTGGATTTCGGAACCGTGAGATATTTGCAGCAGTTAATTGATTATGGATGATGTTTTAAGGAAGCAACACCTATAGGTAAATAACATTTTGCATGTACAGTACAGTGTTCTTGGTTGTGAATTTGATAGCCCGTGGAGGAAAAATAAAACTGACTGGGAATGGATATTTTGTAATGTAATGCAGGATAACATATTGTTCCATGTGTCTATAGTATATGACAAAAAGCACATCTACACATTCGTATGTGTATATGTGAGGAGTACTCCTGCTTAACAGAGTGTGTCAATGCCTGTACAGTGACCGATACCAAGAATAAAGGACATATCATTAATTTTCTTGGTTCTTTCGGTAAAGTCACGTAGAACGTGAAAGAACCAAGAAGATGAATCCCTGCAGTCACGAAAGCTTTAAATCGAAATATCATTAGTTGTTGAGAATAAAGTGGGCTTCAGCTGAACACATCGCTAGAAAGGGGACGACAGACATGTGTGAAAAAGAGCTTTATTGCTAATCGGATTCCCCCAGTATGAATACTGACTTCTCATGGATGGGACTGGTGATGGAATGGCAGCCAAAGGGAGAGATCTCGCCCGAGATAACGATCATCAAGGAGATGGAGAAATACTATAGGCTCATGTGCAGGAATGAATTTGGTTTTTGGATTCGTATGACCGGGGAAGTATTGCAAATCGTGGGGTGGAGGGAAGGTTATATACAGCAGTGGATACACGTTTATAAAAGCAAGGATACAAATCTTCGTGGTGATGTTTATTCATGCGCTAAAAAGTAACTACTTCAATTGTAATTTGAGCCGTTATGAATTTATTTCGAGTTAGGAAAAGTGACTGCGGGAAGATTTCAAATAATATTTTCTGGAGACAGCCACCACTTCTGCTGTTCTACAGTCGTGTTTGGGCATCGGTTGCAAAAAATGCAGCCGCGCTTCTTCCAGAACTTTCTCCATAATCTCTCTCCCAGATATTTAACCACATTGCAGTGTGGATAAATGAGCTGATATATATATTTTTTGTGGCGCAGTATATCTGGTTCTCATTACAAGGAATTGTATAATGCAACGTGGTGGCCCACTGTAAGAATGTCAAAAATGTGTAGAGAAAACACGATTATGTTGGTCTACAAAAAGTGTTTAGTGTTGAAAAATCGGCAGGCATTTATTTATTTTGAAGGGCTTGCTTATGTTTCCTATAGTTTACACCCCTGTCGTTTTTGCACTCTTATTTCGTTTTTTGTATTGTTGTAACTTTTTATTACCTGCCCCTACTGGTCATCTGTAAAAAAAGAGCTTAATAGCTCATCAGATTCCTCCAGCCGAAATAAAGATTCTGATTCTATTTTGCCTGCGACTCATGAGGATTCGCAGCCATGCGAGGTCTATTCTCAGCCATGATCTTCCAGTGGCCTCGTTCAATTAAGGTGCTTTTCTTCCCAACAGTTCCTTAGCATCGGGAGGGGACTGAGCCCCCCCGCATACCCCCCGCCTATATGATGGCCATCGCAACCTTTCCTCATATACATACCCAGTCGGTGAGAGGCAGAGCAGAATGTATGATAGACACAAGCAGATCGCATCGTTTGCTCATTCTGTTCATAGCGCTGGTCAACAACAACAAAAATTTCTGGCCTGGACTTTTGCAGCTGTTTTAGACTAATTTCAGGGTGCTGATTCCAAATCTGTTCTCAGATTTGCTCTATCACATCTCATTTTTATGCTATCGGCATACCCTATTTTCATTGATTTTACCCGAAATTAACTCTGTCACTTAGGATTGCAAGTTGTTGCGAGTCAGTGACTGCTTTAGTGTTAAAATATGGTGCTGTATTTTTAGGATAGTGTGCTTATAATATAATTTTATCTAGATATCCACGTTTATTTAATATTTTTCTTCTGCAGTATTTTATTGAAAATGCAATATTTGATATCTCAACCTGATGTGATGGACAAAACCTGATGCCAGATTTGGAATCAGCACCCCAAAATTACCTTAAAACCGTTGGAATACCTTATGCCAGAAAAAGTGTGACCAGTGTAGTGTATTTCGATTTAAAGCTTTCGTGACTGCAGGGATTCATCTTCTTGGTTCTTTCGGTAAAGTCACGTAGAATTGAAATAATAAAATAATACAAATTAAACATAATAAAATAGTTATTTTTATCAAGGTTTATTTTTATTATTTTATTATTTCCATAAAATAAAGTAATTATTTAACATGTTTCATTTTTTATTTTATTATTTCCATTCTACGTGACATTACCGAAAGAACCAAGAAGACAGTGTAGTGTAGTTAATATTGACTGCAGTGTCCCCCCCTTCCTCCCCCCTGAGTTTTTGTTTGTTGCACTCTGTCCCTGAAGTGGATTTCACGACTTGGCACGTGGATTCATAGGAGGCAAAGGGGCAGTGCCACCCCCACTCCTCCACAACATACTAGTTGGACAGGAAGATCGCAAAACATTATGCTATGCCCCATAAATCAATTCCATTCACGGCTTCCCTTCTGGCTCCTTGATATGTGCCCCTTTGACCACTTTATAGCTCTGGTGTGCTTTCGGGTAGTACCTTGCGATGTCTCAACGTGTTGCTCCAGGAACTGAAATAAGCTTCCAGGACGTGGAGTGAAACGTTGGACTTCGTGCCGAGCGACACGCGGTATACAACCCGAGAGCGCATCCGACATCTATATGGAAGAACACAAGCCAACGCTGTGGAATCGTGTCTAATGATGAAGTTTCATGAGTTTCCTTTATAATAGTCTCAGAAAAAATTCCACGTTGATTGTTTGGCACATGGGGAAGGAGGAAATGGCAGTATCCAGAGAAAACCCAGTGCATATGAAGGGTTGACAACCGCTCTAAGTCACCCACTGATATATTTAAGAATTGTCTGCTTTGCTGCCAGTTCATGATCACCCAGGCAATCTTCCATTGGAGTACTGCTGTCCAGCTTGAGGCCTGCCTAGCCTCGGAGATCCAACGAGAGTGGGGTGATTATTCTTTGGTTCTTTCGGTAAAGTCACGTATAAAGTAATAAATTAAATAATAGCGTACGACGTTTCGGTTGCAACACAAGCAATCATCATCAGGTATAATGAAATAGCGACATAAAATCTAACCAGAAAAAATTATAGACAGACATATAAGCAGACAGATATCACCAAGATACACAGAGCAGGCAACACAGGTACAGAGAGGGGTGATCGTCTCTGTGGGGTGGCCTTAAATAGACAGAGGGGGGCGGAGGCAGCGAGAGGGAGGGGTTAGAGACAACATTTACATGTCAATGAGTACAAAAAGGAGTGAGCAGGCTTAGGGAGAGAAAGAAACACACTAAAATTAAATAACCCAGCAAAGTATCGAAATGTTATGTAAAACGACACAGAGAGTCGGTCAACACACAATTAACGCATAGCCTGGTCGATTACGTATTTCAAAGATTGCTAAGTTAGAATTTAAGTGAAAATTTCAAAGAAAGACAAAACATAAAACCAGAGCAATAAACAAAAGTTAAGATTGAGAGTGGGGTGCATTCTGGAGTGTTTTGGTCGTTGGCATTTAGTCTAATTCGCAGTCGCTGAGGACAGGCCCAAAGGCTCCAAGCATCAAGCAGCCAGCAATAAACAGCACCATTTGGTTAGTCAGGTAGACCGAGCCTTCAACCCGGGTGGAGGAATCGGTGAGTGAAGTTCATGGGAACAGTCACCATCTATTTCAATTTAAAGCTTTCGTGACTGCAGGGATTCATCTTCTTGGTTCTTTCGGTAAAGTCACGTAGAAGGGAAGTAATAAAATAATATTACTTCCCTTCTACGTGACTTTACCGAAAGAACCAAGAAGAATCACCATCTATATATCGAAATAAACTCAAGGTTCCCATGAATCACGTGACG